GACAGATCCTGGCATGTGTGTGGACAAACGCACGCTACAGGAGCAGACGCCGCTGATGCTCGCCGTTCACGGAGGACACCTGGAGTGTGTGAGGAGTCTTCTGGAAGCAGGAGCCGACCCGGACATCAGCAACAAGAACAAAGAGATGCCGCTTTATAAAGGTACTTTCACTCTACAAAAAACAATAGTGTCATTATTCACCCCAATTTAGTTCAAGTACAATGTCAAATAAAAATGTGCTGTAAATGTGCTCACCCTCAGGCCATCAAAGATTAGGATGAGTTTGTTTCTTCATCCTTCAGCTAATGTCCATGTTTGGGTGAACTGTTCCTTTAAGGCTCAAGTCAGTTCAATGTTGATTCAAGTCAGTCATTATCCAGCTGAGTTGAGTAAGTGTTTTAAGCCTCCGTCTTCTCTGTGTGGTGGTGTTTAGCGTGTGAGCAGGAGAGCATCAGCGTGGTGAAGCTGCTGCTGGCGTCCGGCGCGGCGGTGAATCAGCGCTGTTATCGCGGCTGGACCGCGCTGCATGAAGCAGCGAGACGAGACAACACTGAGCTCTGTGAGACGCTCCTGAGGGCCGGAGCCGCTGTAGACGCCCGCAACACTGACGACATCACACCCGCGATAGAGGCGGCTCGACACGGACACACAGGAGCGCTGGCGTACCTGATCCAGAGCGGTACTGAGCGCCGGGTTTACTAGCAGGCCGCTTGAGGCTATAGACTGGGATTCTCCCTGACATGCAATCATTCTTCTGTTAATGTCAGTAGCATTAGGCACTTCACTTGGGCGTCCTGTGACTGTTTCTAAAAACTTCAGCACAAACTCTGTGTTTTTGTAGTGAGAGCTGTGTTATAAACTATTCTCTAACAATAGCTAGTTCTAAACATGTCAAATGTCTGTTTTCCCTCTACAGATTAGTTATTTTTTACAAATCGAGTAAGCTGTGAGGAAACATTTACTAAACCACAAAAATACTCCATCAGATATGCCAGACAGACCCATCGGTGTGATTTCTTCAGATATTAGGCTCGGTGTGATTAGCTAGAGTTTATGATCCGTTTGATCTATCAATATGGTTTAAAGGTGACATATTATGCCCCTTTTTACAATATATAATATAAGTCTCTGGTGTCCCCAGAATGTGTCTGTGAAGTTCCAGCTCAAAATACTCCACAGATCATTTATTAAATCCTTTTGAAAATGCCCTATTTTGAGTGGAAGCAGAAACACGCTGTTTTTCGTGCCTGTCTCTTTAAATGCAAATGAGCTGCTGCTCCCCGCCCCCTTTTCCAGAATAGAGCTGCGCCATTACAGCTCGTACCTGCTAAAAACATCTGTTTTGGTTCTGATTATCATGTTTATCGCGCTGAAATCATACGAGTTTAAACTCCTGATATAAGGTTTTCTGAGCGCACACATCTGAAGCACACGCACAGAAAGCGGCTGTCACAGCATGTGAGCACTAAACTAAGTTCTCATTCACACACAAGTTTACGTTAAAAACACACGAGTTACAAAAACAGTGGGTTATGTCTGTGAAGGTAAACAGCTGGGAAATAAATCGCATGTTTATTTTAGATCTGTGTGGCAGCAGCAATATACAGTAAATACATCAATAAATGCACTGCTCTGTTGTCTCCTCTGAGGCTGGGACTCTAAACAGTGTTCTGTGCTCGTCTGTGCAGCCAAACACAGAACAGTTAGCGTGTTTTGCTCAAACTTTCTCTATGGCATTAGAGCTGCTACACCGTTGTCGCTTGCGAAATCAAAATGACGGAGCCGTGGGTGGAAACTTACAGATTAAGGGGCGGTGATATTATAATGAGATCCCTTTGCCACGTCACCAAGGGAGCGAAATCAGACGCGCTCGTTTTCTCAGACGCTTGCAGAAAAAGGCTTCCCAAAACAAAGTTACTGGGTTAATCTTTTTCACGTTTCCTTGGTTGGTAGATGCACCGGGGACCTGATTATAGCACTTACAACCTGGAAAAGTCAGATTTTCATGATATGTCACCTTTAAGTCTGAGTTTTTAAATTGAAGTTAAAATTTATATTTTACCCTGACATGAATATAACTAAAAATAAAGACTTAGTACAAAATAATTAGACCAGTGAGCCGCTATGGCAGTAGATATAAAACACAGAACAGGAAATCATTTGTGTTTATAAGACATTTATTTAAAAATATTGAGGGATGGCTTCTAAAACCAAAAGAGTAGAAACACTAGAATGTTGTGTTTGTCCCGTCAGGTGCTGGTGTGAATGCTCAGACGTGTGACGGGAACACTGCTTTAACCCAAGCCTGCAGACACGGTCACACAGAAACTGTCAAGCTTCTGCTCAAACATCACACAGATGCCAACGAAGCCACCAATGCCGGACTTCTGCCTCTGCACATCGCCAGCCAGCACGGACACAAAGAGTAAGAATTCAGTCCAATCTAGAGAACTACAGCTGTGTCCTGTAGCAGATGTCATGTGCTGTACAACAGCTGCACCTGCCGCCTCTGACACACGTGACGAGAGCTGAACAGCTGGAGTCCAAACACAGCCACTAGAGCTGACCACGTGATTACTGTAACTCCCAGCTGTGCTTTACACCAACAGCTCACACGAACATGAGAACTCGATGAAGATGTGCTCACCCTCAGTTCATCACAAGATCAGGATGAGTTTGTCTCTTCATCAGGTTTGGAGAAATGTAGCATTGCATCAGTGTCTCAGCAATGGATGCTCTGCAGTGAATGGGTGCCGTCAGAATGAGAGTCCAAACAGCTGATAAAAACATCACAATAATCCACAGCACTCCAGTCCATCAGTTAACATCTGGAGAAGACAGAAGCTGAAACTAATCCATATTTGTTTAGAGCTGTTTTGGCATGATTTGTGCAGATTTCTCTCCTGATTCAGACTAAGAGTTATTATGGATTATGGACTCTATGGTATTCTAGTTAAAAACGTCTTAATGCTGGATTTGTTTCAGCTTTTGTCTTCTCCAGATGTTAACTGATGGACTGGAGTGCTGTAGATTACTTGTGGATTATTGTGATGTTTTTATCAGCTGTTTGGACTCTCATTCTGACGGCACCCATTCACTGCAGAGCATCCATTGCTGAGACACTGATGCAATGCTACATTTCTACAAACCTGATGAAGAAACAAACTCATCCTAATCTACTTTTTTTTTTTTGGTGAACTATTCCTTTAAGAAGTTTGATATTGTCTTGATGATTTAATGAATCATTGATTTGTATGCTTAAGCTCTAAAATGCTGTCTTTCCCAGGATTGTTTCCTTATTGCTCCCGATCACCAGCCGGGTGAGGATTCGGCAAAGCGGCATCTCTCCTCTCCATCTGGCAGCGGAGCACGACCGCAGGATCATCATGAGTCTGCTGATTGAGTCGGGGTTTGATGTCAACAGCAAACTCTCTCAGGAGTGCTCAGCCAGGTTCCAGGACCGGCGTGTTTCGGCTCTGTACTGCGCTGTCGCCGCCAGGAACACACGGGCCGCTGCTGTTCTGCTGAAGGCCGGTGCGAATCCCAACATGGACCCCTTCAGCCCGCTGCTGTTAGCGGTGCGTGACGGCTGTCTGGAGACTGTGGCGCTGCTGCTGGAGCACGGAGCTCATGTGAACGCTCGCCCGACCGCAGGTTTCCCCGCAGTGCTGCTGTACACTCATCAGCTGGACGTCCTGCAGTATCTACTGGACCACGGCTGTGACGCTCGGACCTGCTTCACCTGCAGCAGACATCACAGCGGAGAGCACACACACTTCAGAAGCCACACGGTGAACACAGACGCCACTAAACCAGAGTTAAAGGTGATGATTCAGTGTCGTGAGGTATCCTTGACCAATGAATAGCCATTCTCTGTAGCCTCATGGTGTGTGTTAGGTCCTGACTGTGCCGAATCTGAAGTTCTCTGTTCTCTTTCAGTTCTGTGACTGGATCTCGTCCTCCTGCTGGAGACACTCAGCCGGTCGGGTCACTGATCTGCTGCTGGACTATGTAGGAAACGTTCAGCTCTGCAGCAGGATCAGAGATCTCCTTCTGGACCAACCGGAGTGGATGAGCATTAAGGAGAAAACATGTGAGTGCATTATGAACCACAGCACATTTGCCAGTAAAACCTCAGTAGAGCTGCACAGATGCTGGGATGATCATGCTATGGTCGTTTGCCTGACCGCTGAACAGCTCAACTATTTAAAGAAACAGTCACACATTTATCATTTAAGTGATGTTGATCTTTCATGCTTTGTTTTGTACACGGAAGACAATTTCAAAAAAGGATTTTTATTTTTTGTTTTATTTAGTAACTTATTTACTTTTCATAATATCTGTTTATCTATTAGCTTGTCAGTCATCTAGACATTGGAGTTACTGAACTGGAGATTGAACACAAGCTCCTCGTGGTCAGCTGCAGAGCAGTGTTGTTGTCGTTGTGCGTCTGCATGCTGAGCAGGATCGATGTGATGTTTGTGTTTACAGCGTCTCCTCGAGGCCTGATGCATCTCTGTGGGCTGAGGATCCGAGAGCAGCTGGGGCCGCAGAGACTGAGATGTGTGGAGTCGCTGCCGCTGCCGGGCCCCATGCTGCGGTACCTGAGCTCCAGAAGCAGACGCTGCGCTCAGCACAGGGACCACCACCATCATCATCATCATCATCATCACTGAAGGGAGAGTGAAACGGGATGATTGTTTTGTGTATTTATAACTTTTAATTTATCTTGACGTTTCTTAAAGTATTATGTTTGTGCTTGATACACAGTTCTATGTAGTTGATCTGAAAATACTGAGTATGATGGTGGTGATCAGAATAAATGTGCTGCTTTGAGTGTCGGATCTTTAATTAACAGACAGTGTAAAACAGTCAATCAGTAGCAGTTTTAATCAGCTAATGGATTACAATCAGGTTTTTAGTGTGACAACATCTCTAACTGGACTAACACAATAATAAATAATCTCTACCTCACAGTGAATGCTGTTTCAGGAATGTTTGAGCTGTGACAGAGACATGGTGTTTATAAGATGCTCTCCGGAGAACAGTGTTTGTGCTGTGCTCACACAAACACTCTGAAATGGATAGTTTAATGTCTTCACTTTCACTAAAGCCCATACAAGTCAATACAGGCGTGCTTTATTCTTGCTACATCTGTACTTTTAAGTGCTTAAAGGCGAGTGTTCATTAAATCCAGCTGATTCAGTAATGGGTTAAAACAGAGAGGAGCTCGCTACAGTGTCTAAAGGGTGTTCGTCCTCCCGCTAAATGAAGCCGAACACGCTGAACACGGAGGAGGAGGAAGAGGAGGAAGAGGAGGGTTTGGTGGGGATCGGCTTGATCACCACATGCGCGCGGCTGCTGAGGGGCGCGTCCGCGTGAGGCAGCAGAAAGCGGTACGGGAGCGAGCAGCACGAGCACGCGCACGCCGCGCTACCGGACAGCAGCGGGTTTGCGTTCAAGTCATCAAAACCCGTCGTGCTCCTCTCGCCATTCACCGCGGGCGGTCTGACGTGTCCGCTCTGAAGGAAGCGCTCCAGACGCTCGCGGCTCCCGGATGAGGACTGCGGCTCCTTCCAGAAGGACGCCGGGAGCTGCCGCTTGCGCATCGGCGTCGGAGCCTGTCCCTGTCCCTGTCCCGACCGCGCTCCGTCCTCCGCGTTCAGACGCTCCTCTCTCCCGCTCCCGGGCCCGGGCGGCGCTTTATCCTCGGAGAGTTTAGCGGGCGCCGAGTCGCCGTTTCTGTGCGAATGGCAGCGGGGCATCTTGGCGTAGCGGTGCGAGAAGCGCTTGAGCTGCTTCTGCAGGTATTTGCGGTGGTCCACGGAGCGCCTGCAGGGCGCGGATCGATCCAGCGCCGCCTTGATGTCGCTCGACGCCAGATTGACGAAGTTCAGGAGCGTCTTGACCTCGCTGTCGGAGCTCGCCATCACGCAGACCTCAGCAGCACATCCTCACGCACTCCTGTGAAGCTCTGACCTCCAGCTCTACAGTCAACAGTCGCAATACTGACTCCAGCTTCGCATCAGACCTGGCAAAGCAAAGCCAGAGTGAGGTCCAGCTCTGTAGTAGCCCAAGCTCTCTAAGAAGCTGAATGGCTATAGACTGGGTGTAGTTATGGTGCTTTCCTGAGCCAATCAGAGACCTCACTTTCCTCACAATGCTCCCCAATGAGCCACCGAGATCCCGGTGTCGGATTCTTTGCCACCCCAAACTGTTGTCATGGAAATCCCCGAGAGGGAAAACAGCAGCAGATGCAATATTTCTTAGTGGAAACAAACGGTGGCCTGATCGTCCCGCGCTCGCCGCAGTCTGTTTGTGATTTGACGGAGTTTGGAGCGAGGGCCCCGTGGCCCTGAAGCCGCGCTTCACCTCACTTCCAGAAGACGATCTGAAGTTGCGCTCTTCCCCTTACAGGGATGTCAGGAGCGGGTTCAGGGGAGGAGATGTGCGCATAACCATGGAGAGGGGGCTTGAGCGCTCAAGAATCTTGTCTTTCTGTTTGCCCCCTCAATCGAGCCACACAAAAGCTGAATTACTCATTCAAACCTCGCGGGACAAAGGCGGAGGAGCCGGAGAGCACTCTCACATTTGTAGTCAAACATTCGGAGACTTAAATCGAGTCGTCGTGAAAGAGAAAGAGTTAGACAAAGCCCATAGAACTGCCATCAGCAAACACTTTCCTGTGTCATATTAGTGGGTCTCCATGGCTCCCTCTGGCTGGAGGACAATAGCAGGAGTTTGCTCACTCGAATACTGTCACCCTGCCAACGGAGACCAGGGCCAGAAGCAGGACAATCCCGCAGAAAGCAGCGGCTCCGCGGGGAAGGGTGCGATAGAAAAGGAGAAAGGGACTTGTGAAATGCTAATTGAGCTCCGTCCCTCATTGAGAGGAGAAAAGAGAGAGAGCAGGGCTACCTATCGTCCTGTCGAGACGCCTCGTCCCCGGCAGAGGAGCTTCAGATGAGAGCCGCAGCGCTTAGAGCTCCGAGGACCCTCTGTCAGGACAGCAAAACTCCAACCAGACTTACCATGATCTAAACCAGAGCTAAAACTACTGAAAATCAAGACGTTTTCAGAAGAACCACGGGCTTCATTTATAGTCGTGCGTAATGATCCTAAATCTGAACACAAAACTCATTCTGAAAGGTTCCTGTGAATGATTTCTAATAAAATCCATGCTGTATACTCAGAAAATGCTCCCAAATGCATCCTGCTTTATAAACCATAATTCATCTTTTAAGCACAAAGTGCAGAACGCCAAAAATATCCCAAAAATATCTCAAAAATATCATCATTATTAATGAGTTTCAGTGATGTAATTATTACAAAAGCAGTTGCACATTTGCACATATAGTAATATTAATGTATATTGTGATTGTCTACTTTACATGTTAATAAACAATATTAGACTATCTTAATGGTATTTTAGTGGCAAAAACTTTGCACACTTTCTTTAGTTCTTTACATATAACAAGATCATTTTCACGTCAGTTCTTTATAAATCCTCAAATCTGACAGGATGAAATCTGGAATTTAGGATCAAATCCGATCAAACGTGTATTTTATAAACGCAGCTGGATACATGAGGACGCTTCATTTAAAAAGTGTTATTGCCATGTATTAATGTTCTTTTAACCCTATGGGCAGTTTATTATGAATATATCTTTGAGAAATATTTGTTGACGTATTTCGTCAAGCTCTATTATTTTTAATAGGTTAGAAATCGTAAGAAATATATATTTTCTAAATGCCTAATGACTGGGAAAGTCGCTGCTGTGAAGACCACGGTGTGCTCCTCTTCCTCTTCTGTCCAGTCAAACAATAGCGCTGCTCTTCTGAAGTGTGTGAATGAAGGCACAGCCCAATAAAAGCCTCTCTGACAGCCTGAAGAAGACAGATGACTTCTGCAGGCCAGATGGACTGACCACAGGCACATCTAATCATTTTACAGAAACACAGCGCTGATATACTGCTTGCTTCACGGCTAGAGAAACTATATGAGCTCTCTAACAACAGCACATCAGCAGACGGAGAAAGTGAGGCGCTTGTTTCACGTCAGATGAAAAACAGATTCAGAATCACGTCTCAAGTCAAGATGCTGCTGATGGCATAAAGATCAGCTTTAGCGCTTGTCTAAAGAAATCAGAAACATGCAGCGTCACACACTTTGAAGAGTGATGTAAATGAAATAATGCAGCAGCTCTATTATTCCCTCTAGAGTTGAGTTCACTCTGTGTGATTCATTTTCATTCATTTGTTTTTCTCCATTTCGGTCTCATGATGGAGTTTGGTTTTCTTGCCACTGTCGCCTTTGGCTTGATTAGCTGGGGTTTAAAAGACACGTAATATTCAGAAATAGCACTGATAATACTGGATGAGAAGTGAATAATGACTCTATCAGGGGTGGAAAATTACACTCTAGTGAAAGTACAGACTCTCAGTGAAAATTTTACTCAAAAGTACAAGTATCTGGACAAAAACATACTTCGTAAAGTAAAAAAAGTGCAACTTTAAATTGTACCCGAGTATTAAAAAGGAGAAATAACCTAGCAAAAAAAAGAAGATTCTTGTTTCATCATATTGAGCTATCTTCTCAATGCAAAGATAAATTGCTTAAAAACCTGCATAAAATGTTTTTGTCAGACATGCAAAGGTTTGGTTAAAGGGAGAAAACATAAAATGCAATGGCACAGGTCAAACCTGTCTAAACATCTATCTAGCGCGAGAACATCTATTAAAATGCAGCACAATGCAACACAAAAATCCATCCTTTACCCTCATGCTGTCCCTAACGTACATGCCTTTCTTCAGATGAACACAAACTAAGCACACAGTGCATAAAATACAAAATAACGCTTCAAAAACATTTACGATCCTATGTTACTCAATATATCATTTTAATACGACTGATCTACTTCCTGATAAGAACATCACTAAACATGAATTACAATTACTTTAATAAACAATGTTGGGTTAAACACTTTTTAAAGATTTGTAACATTTATTAAAAAAAAAAGCAATGAGTGTCACCAAAACATGAATTGTATAAATTCTCATCACTGATTTTGTTCACATTCAATCTTGTCCATTCAGGCAAATATAGACAGCTAATGACTTTCAAAATAGACAAAAATAACGAATAAACGTAGCTTCCTCAGATTTGAAGGTGAACATATGAAGCCAGAAATGTAATGTAATGAAGTAACAAGTACAAGTAGTCAGTTTAAATTGTACTTGAATAAAGTAAAAATCCCCCTAAATAATAGTTAAATACATGAATCAAGTAAAATGTGCTGCAAAATGCCAAACACAACTAAAGCACAGCTGTCATCGTTTACACACAACGATTCAAAACTGTTCACACTTGTTTCTAATGATGTGATCAAACCAACTGTACAACATATGAGTCAGTTCAGAGAACACAAGCGGCACAGGTGACTGAATGATGAGACGAACAACAGATGGACACAATCTGAGAAGGAGAGGAGGAAGAGTACATGTAAGAAGTGGAGGATGAGGAGAGAAAGAGGAAGGTTTAGAGAGTGTTATCAAGGCTGGATGGGGTTTTTCTCTCTGTCTAGCAAAAAAGACAACATTACTTGTGATGTGGACAAAGTTCTCAGGCCGGACTCAAGCACACAGACATGATGCTGAGACAGAATGAGTCTCTCATTGACTCTGAACTTACAATATTTGAGTGTACTGTAACATGCTATTCCTTTAGTTTTATTTGACGTTTTTGGCCTTTGCAGTTGGACTGTAGTATCGTTGCAGTATCCAAGAGCTGAATATATACAAACATTCAGTGCTATTCAATATTCAGCACAATACTATTCTTGCAGTACATACAGTAGGCCTATACAATATATTCACCTTACTCAATCACTATACTTTTTTACAGAATTGCAAAATTGTTTATTCAATACAATATACTTTTTTCTGTAATGTTCTGGATGCAGTGTTCTCCATTTCGCTCTGTAGTGTCTAATGAATGCTCTGTAGTGTTTTCTTTATTGACTCGTGTGTGTGTGTGTGTGTGTGTGTGTGTGTCTTTGTGTGTGTGCTGTTTTGGCATGATTTGTGCAGATTTCTCTCCTGATTCAGACTAAGAGTTATTATGGATTATGGACTCTATGGTATTCTAGTTAAAAACGTCTTAATGCTGGATTTGTTTCAGCTTTTGTCTTCTCCAGATGTTAACTGATGGACTGGAGTGCTGTAGATTACTTGTGGATTATTGTGATGTTTTTATCAGCTGTTTGGACTCTCATTCTGACGGCACCCATTCACTGCAGAGCATCCATTGCTGAGACACTGATGCAATGCTACATTTCTACAAACCTGATGAAGAAACAAACTCATCCTAATCTACTTTTTTTTTTTTGGTGAACTATTCCTTTAAGAAGTTTGATATTGTCTTGATGATTTAATGAATCATTGATTTGTATGCTTAAGCTCTAAAATGCTGTCTTTCCCAGGATTGTTTCCTTATTGCTCCCGATCACCAGCCGGGTGAGGATTCGGCAAAGCGGCATCTCTCCTCTCCATCTGGCAGCGGAGCACGACCGCAGGATCATCATGAGTCTGCTGATTGAGTCGGGGTTTGATGTCAACAGCAAACTCTCTCAGGAGTGCTCAGCCAGGTTCCAGGACCGGCGTGTTTCGGCTCTGTACTGCGCTGTCGCCGCCAGGAACACACGGGCCGCTGCTGTTCTGCTGAAGGCCGGTGCGAATCCCAACATGGACCCCTTCAGCCCGCTGCTGTTAGCGGTGCGTGACGGCTGTCTGGAGACTGTGGCGCTGCTGCTGGAGCACGGAGCTCATGTGAACGCTCGCCCGACCGCAGGTTTCCCCGCAGTGCTGCTGTACACTCATCAGCTGGACGTCCTGCAGTATCTACTGGACCACGGCTGTGACGCTCGGACCTGCTTCACCTGCAGCAGACATCACAGCGGAGAGCACACACACTTCAGAAGCCACACGGTGAACACAGACGCCACTAAACCAGAGTTAAAGGTGATGATTCAGTGTCGTGAGGTATCCTTGACCAATGAATAGCCATTCTCTGTAGCCTCATGGTGTGTGTTAGGTCCTGACTGTGCCGAATCTGAAGTTCTCTGTTCTCTTTCAGTTCTGTGACTGGATCTCGTCCTCCTGCTGGAGACACTCAGCCGGTCGGGTCACTGATCTGCTGCTGGACTATGTAGGAAACGTTCAGCTCTGCAGCAGGATCAGAGATCTCCTTCTGGACCAACCGGAGTGGATGAGCATTAAGGAGAAAACATGTGAGTGCATTATGAACCACAGCACATTTGCCAGTAAAACCTCAGTAGAGCTGCACAGATGCTGGGATGATCATGCTATGGTCGTTTGCCTGACCGCTGAACAGCTCAACTATTTAAAGAAACAGTCACACATTTATCATTTAAGTGATGTTGATCTTTCATGCTTTGTTTTGTACACGGAAGACAATTTCAAAAAAGGATTTTTATTTTTTGTTTTATTTAGTAACTTATTTACTTTTCATAATATCTGTTTATCTATTAGCTTGTCAGTCATCTAGACATTGGAGTTACTGAACTGGAGATTGAACACAAGCTCCTCGTGGTCAGCTGCAGAGCAGTGTTGTTGTCGTTGTGCGTCTGCATGCTGAGCAGGATCGATGTGATGTTTGTGTTTACAGCGTCTCCTCGAGGCCTGATGCATCTCTGTGGGCTGAGGATCCGAGAGCAGCTGGGGCCGCAGAGACTGAGATGTGTGGAGTCGCTGCCGCTGCCGGGCCCCATGCTGCGGTACCTGAGCTCCAGAAGCAGACGCTGCGCTCAGCACAGGGACCACCACCATCATCATCATCATCATCATCACTGAAGGGAGAGTGAAACGGGATGATTGTTTTGTGTATTTATAACTTTTAATTTATCTTGACGTTTCTTAAAGTATTATGTTTGTGCTTGATACACAGTTCTATGTAGTTGATCTGAAAATACTGAGTATGATGGTGGTGATCAGAATAAATGTGCTGCTTTGAGTGTCGGATCTTTAATTAACAGACAGTGTAAAACAGTCAATCAGTAGCAGTTTTAATCAGCTAATGGATTACAATCAGGTTTTTAGTGTGACAACATCTCTAACTGGACTAACACAATAATAAATAATCTCTACCTCACAGTGAATGCTGTTTCAGGAATGTTTGAGCTGTGACAGAGACATGGTGTTTATAAGATGCTCTCCGGAGAACAGTGTTTGTGCTGTGCTCACACAAACACTCTGAAATGGATAGTTTAATGTCTTCACTTTCACTAAAGCCCATACAAGTCAATACAGGCGTGCTTTATTCTTGCTACATCTGTACTTTTAAGTGCTTAAAGGCGAGTGTTCATTAAATCCAGCTGATTCAGTAATGGGTTAAAACAGAGAGGAGCTCGCTACAGTGTCTAAAGGGTGTTCGTCCTCCCGCTAAATGAAGCCGAACACGCTGAACACGGAGGAGGAGGAAGAGGAGGAAGAGGAGGGTTTGGTGGGGATCGGCTTGATCACCACATGCGCGCGGCTGCTGAGGGGCGCGTCCGCGTGAGGCAGCAGAAAGCGGTACGGGAGCGAGCAGCACGAGCACGCGCACGCCGCGCTACCGGACAGCAGCGGGTTTGCGTTCAAGTCATCAAAACCCGTCGTGCTCCTCTCGCCATTCACCGCGGGCGGTCTGACGTGTCCGCTCTGAAGGAAGCGCTCCAGACGCTCGCGGCTCCCGGATGAGGACTGCGGCTCCTTCCAGAAGGACGCCGGGAGCTGCCGCTTGCGCATCGGCGTCGGAGCCTGTCCCTGTCCCTGTCCCGACCGCGCTCCGTCCTCCGCGTTCAGACGCTCCTCTCTCCCGCTCCCGGGCCCGGGCGGCGCTTTATCCTCGGAGAGTTTAGCGGGCGCCGAGTCGCCGTTTCTGTGCGAATGGCAGCGGGGCATCTTGGCGTAGCGGTGCGAGAAGCGCTTGAGCTGCTTCTGCAGGTATTTGCGGTGGTCCACGGAGCGCCTGCAGGGCGCGGATCGATCCAGCGCCGCCTTGATGTCGCTCGACGCCAGATTGACGAAGTTCAGGAGCGTCTTGACCTCGCTGTCGGAGCTCGCCATCACGCAGACCTCAGCAGCACATCCTCACGCACTCCTGTGAAGCTCTGACCTCCAGCTCTAAAGTCAACAGTCGCAATACTGACTCCAGCTTCGCATCAGACCTGGCAAAGCAAAGCCAGAGTGAGGTCCAGCTCTGTAGTAGCCCAAGCTCTCTAAGAAGCTGAATGGCTATAGACTGGGTGTAGTTATGGTGCTTTCCTGAGCCAATCAGAGACCTCACTTTCCTCACAATGCTCCCCAATGAGCCACCGAGATCCCGGTGTCGGATTCTTTGCCACCCCAAACTGTTGTCATGGAAATCCCCGAGAGGGAAAACAGCAGCAGATGCAATATTTCTTAGTGGAAACAAACGGTGGCCTGATCGTCCCGCGCTCGCCGCAGTCTGTTTGTGATTTGACGGAGTTTGGAGCGAGGGCCCCGTGGCCCTGAAGCCGCGCTTCACCTCACTTCCAGAAGACGATCTGAAGTTGCGCTCTTCCCCTTACAGGGATGTCAGGAGCGGGTTCAGGGGAGGAGATGTGCGCATAACCATGGAGAGGGGGCTTGAGCGCTCAAGAATCTTGTCTTTCTGTTTGCCCCCTCAATCGAGCCACACAAAAGCTGAATTACTCATTCAAACCTCGCGGGACAAAGGCGGAGGAGCCGGAGAGCACTCTCACATTTGTAGTCAAACATTCGGAGACTTAAATCGAGTCGTCGTGAAAGAGAAAGAGTTAGACAAAGCCCATAGAATTGCCATCAGCAAACACTTTCCTGTGTCATATTAGTGGGTCTCCATGGCTCCCTCTGGCTGGAGGACAATAGCAGGAGTTTGCTCACTCGAATACTGTCACCCTGCCAACGGAGACCAGGGCCAGAAGCAGGACAATCCCGCAGAAAGCAGCGGCTCCGCGGGGAAGGGTGCGATAGAAAAGGAGAAAGGGACTTGTGAAATGCTAATTGAGCTCCGTCCCTCATTGAGAGGAGAAAAGAGAGAGAGCAGGGCTACCTATCGTCCTGTCGAGACGCCTCGTCCCCGGCAGAGGAGCTTCAGATGAGAGCCGCAGCGCTTAGAGCTCCGAGGACCCTCTGTCAGGACAGCAAAACTCCAACCAGACTTACCATGATCTAAACCAGAGCTAAAACTACTGAAAATCAAGACGTTTTCAGAAGAACCACGGGCTTCATTTATAGTCGTGCGTAATGATCCTAAATCTGAACACAAAACTCATTCTGAAAGGTTCCTGTGAATGATTTCTAATAAAATCCATGCTGTATACTCAGAAAATGCTCCCAAATGCATCCTGCTTTATAAACCATAATTCATCTTTTAAGCACAAAGTGCAGAACGCCAAAAATATCCCAAAAATATCTCAAAAATATCATCATTATTAATGAGTTTCAGTGATGTAATTATTACAAAAGCAGTTGCACATTTGCACATATAGTAATATTAATGTATATTGTGATTGTCTACTTTACATTTTAATAAACAATATTAGACTATCTTAATGGTATTTTAGTGGCAAAAACTTTGCACACTTTCTTTAGTTCTTTACATATAACAAGATCATTTTCACGTCAGTTCTTTATAAATCCTCAAATCTGACAGGATGAAATCTGGAATTTAGGATCAAATCCGATCAAACGTGTATTTTATAAACGCAGCTGGATACATGAGGACGCTTCATTTAAAAAGTGTTATTGCCATGTATTAATGTTCTTTTAACCCTATGGGCAGTTTATTATGAATATATCTTTTAGAAATATTTGTTGACGTATTTCGTCAAGCTCTATTATTTTTAATAGGTTAGAAATCGTAAGAAATATATATTTTCTAAATGCCTAATGACTGGGAAAGTCGCTGCTGTGAAGACCACGGTGTGCTCCTCTTCCTCTTCTGTCCAGTCAAACAATAGCGCTGCTCTTCTGAAGTGTGTGAATGAAGGCACAGCCCAATAAAAGCCTCTCTGACAGCCTGAAGAAGACAGATGACTTCTGCAGGCCAGATGGACTGACCACAGGCACATCTAATCATTTTACAGAAACACAGCGCTGATATACTGCTTGCTTCACGGCTAGAGAAACTATATGAGCTCTCTAACAACAGCACATCAGCAGACGGAGAAAGTGAGGCGCTTGTTTCACGTCAGATGAAAAACAGATTCAGAATCACGTCTCAAGTCAAGATGCTGCTGATGGCATAAAGATCAGCTTTAGCGCTTGTCTAAAGAAATCAGAAACATGCAGCGTCACACACTTTGAAGAGTGATGTAAATGAAATAATGCAGCAGCTCTATTATTCCCTCTAGAGTTGAGTTCACTCTGTGTGATTCATTTTCATTCATTTGTTTTTCTCCATTTCGGTCTCATGATGGAGTTTGGTTTTCTTGCCACTGTCGCCTTTGGCTTGATTAGCTGGGGTTTAAAAGACACGTAATATTCAGAAATAGCACTGATAATACTGGATGAGAAGTGAATAATGACTCTATCAGGGGTGGAAAATTACACTCTAGTGAAAGTACAGACTCTCAGTGAAAATTTTACTCAAAAGTACAAGTATCTGGACAAAAACATACTTCGTAAAGTAAAAAAAGTGCAACTTTAAATTGTACCCGAGTATTAAAAAGGAGAAATAACCTAGCAAAAAAAAGAAGATTCTTGTTTCATCATATTGAGCTATCTTCTCAATGCAAAGATAAATTGCTTAAAAACCTGCATAAAATGTTTTTGTCAGACATGCAAAGGTTTGGTTAAAGGGAGAAAACATAAAATGCAATGGCACAGGTCAAACCTGTCTAAACATCTATCTAGCGCGAGAACATCTATTAAAATGCAGCACAATGCAACACAAAAATCCATCCTTTACCCTCATGCTGTCCCTAACGTACATGCCTTTCTTCAGATGAACACAAACTAAGCACACAGTGCATAAAATACAAAATAACGCTTCAAAAACATTTACGATCCTATGTTACTCAATATATCATTTTAATACGACTGATCTACTTCCTGATAAGAACATCACTAAACATGAATTACAATTACTTTAATAAACAATGTTGGGTTAAACACTTTTTAAAGATTTGTAACATTTATTAAAAAAAAAAGCAATGAGTGTCACCAAAACATGAATTGTATAAATTCTCATCACTGATTTTGTTCACATTCAATCTTGTCCATTCAGGCAAATATAGACAGCTAATGACTTTCAAAATAGACAAAAATAACGAATAAACGTAGCTTCCTCAGATTTGAAGGTGAACATATGAAGCCAGAAATGTAATGTAATGAAGTAACAAGTACAAGTAGTCAGTTTAAATTGTACTTGAATAAAGTAAAAATCCCCCTAAATAATAGTTAAATACATGAATCAAGTAAAATGTGCTGCAAAATGCCAAACACAACTAAAGCACAGCTGTCATCGTTTACACACAACGATTCAAAACTGTTCACACTTGTTTCTAATGATGTGATCAAACCAACTGTACAACATATGAGTCAGTTCAGAGAACACAAGCGGCACAGGTGACTGAATGATGAGACGAACAACAGATGGACACAATCTGAGAAGGAGAGGAGGAAGAGTACATGTAAGAAGTGGAGGATGAGGAGAGAAAGAGGAAGGTTTAGAGAGTGTTATCAAGGCTGGATGGGGTTTTTCTCTCTGTCTAGCAAAAAAGACAACATTACTTGTGATGTGGACAAAGTTCTCAGGCCGGACTCAAGCACACAGACATGATGCTGAGACAGAATGAGTCTCTCATTGACTCTGAACTTACAATATTTGAGTGTACTGTAACATGCTATTCCTTTAGTTTTATTTGACGTTTTTGGCCTTTGCAGTTGGACTGTAGTATCGTTGCAGTATCCAAGAGCTGAATATATACAAACATTCAGTGCTATTCAATATTCAGCACAATACTATTCTTACAGTATAGG